AGAACTGAGGATGATAGATGAAATAAAACAAAACAAGCAACCACAGGGCAAGAAACCCTCAGAACCAAGGAGTAAAATGGAGATCAGGTTAACAAAATTATTCCCCTCTTGCCTATTCAATTCATGGCAACTGTGGTGTGGATAAATGAGCACACAGGAAAGAAAGTGACTCACCAGTTTTAAAGATGTAGCCTTTCTGACTATGCAGCTAATCAAAAGAGGTTAAGAAACTATTCCTACCCATGTGGTAGGGGATGTGGAGTCCTTTCATATTAGGTGATTTGACCTTACCCAAAACAGGCCCCTTTACATACACATTGACCCATTGGAGCCCCATAATAGGCCTGCTACATGGGCACTCCAAATATTCCTAATTCCATTTTATAGATTTGGGAACTGAGTCCCAGAGAACGTCCATACCTTTTTTATAATTACACAGTTATTTGACATTTGAACCCAGGACTTCCATCTCAAAGTCTATCACTAATTCAGTTCTTCCAGATTGCTTCTCATACAGCAAAACATGACTCTCCTCTCTGCCCCCTCCCATGCCACAACTTTGATGTAAGTAAAATTTAATTCAATTCAACCTAGCAAATATTTATTAATGACCTCCTGCTCAGGATAGGATACAAACACAAAAAAGTAAAAATATCTCTACTCAAAAGGAGTTTATTTTAACAGAGAGAACAATATTACTACTGAGAAGTCAATGTGAAATATACCATATACAAGAAAAATAGTTTGTGGGTCACTAAATTGGGGTGGACCAAAAAAACTCATGGAGAATGTGACATTTTACTTGTATTTGAAAGAACCTAGGGATTCCATAATGTAAAGTAAGGAACCCATTTAGAAACTCATTTTTAAAAAAGTAGGGCCCAGCTACTTAAAACTCTAAAAGAATATGCTATTAAAGTGATACACTCAATATGCCAGAAAATTTGGAAACACAACAGTGGCCACTGAATTGGAAAAGATCAGTTTATGTCCCTCTCCTAAAGAAGAGTAGTGCCAAGGAATATTCAATTTATCAAACAATTATGCTCATTTCACATACCAGGAAGGTTATGCTTAAGATTCTGTAAGCTTAGCTTCAGCAATGTGAACCAAGCCCTACCAGAAAAGCAGACTGGTTTTCAAAAAGATAGTGGAACTAGAGACAAAATTACCAATATTCAGTGGATTGTGGAGAAAACAAAGTAGTTCCAGGCAAAAACAAAAACAAAATAAACAAATAAAAACAGCTTACTTCTGCTCCATTGACTACACTAAAGCCCTTGACTGTATGGATCACCAAAAAAACAAAACAAAACAAAACAAAAACATATAGAGAGAGATAAGACCACCAGATCATTTTACTTTGTCTCCTGAGGAACTGTAAGAGGGCCAAAATGCAACAGTTAGAATTGAACATGGAACAACTGCTTGGTTTAGGATTGGGAAAGAAGTACAGCAAGGCTGTATATTGTTACCATATTTATTTAACTTTTATGTAGAGTACATCATGCAAAATGCCAGGCTGGATGAATCAAAAGCTGTACTTAAGGTTGCTGGGAGAAATAACAATAATCTCAGATGTGCAGATGATGCCATTCTGATGGCAGAAAGTGAAGAAGAAATCAAGATGCCTCTTGGTGAGAGTGAAAGAAGAGAATGCAAAAGCAGGATTGAAGATTAACATAAAAAAAACAAACAAAAAAAAAACCAAAAAGAACAAAAAAACAAAAAACAAAACAAAAAACAAGAGCTTGACAATGGGTCTCATCACTTTCTGGCAAACAGAGAGAAAGAAATGGAAGCAGTGTTAGATTTTATATTCTTCAGCACAAAGATCACCACAGAAGGCAACTGCAGCCATGAAATTAAAAGACATTTGCTCTTTAGAAGGAAAAGAATGACAAATCTACACAACATACTAAAAAGCAGAGACACCACCTCGCCAACAAAGATCCATATAGTCAAAGCTATGGTTTTTCCAGGAATGTATAGTTGTAAGAGTTTGACTATAAGGAAAACTGAGCACCATAGAATTGATGCTTTCAAGTTGTGCTACTGGAGAAGTCTTTTGAAAGTCCCTTGGACATCAAGGAGATTAAACAAGTCAATACTCAAAAAAATTAATTCAGGATATTCACTGGAAGGTCAAATGCTGAAGCTAAAGCTTAAATACTTGGCCAAAAAATGAGAAGACCATTACAAAAACCCTAACAGATAGAGCACTGGTCCTAGAGTCAAGAGGATCTGAGTTCAAATCCAGCCTCAGACAAATAACACTCACTCGCTGTGTGACTCTGAGCAAGTTACCTAACCCCAATTACCTCACCAAAAAAAAAAAAGACCTTAATGCTGGAAAAAATTGAAGGAAAAAGGAAAAAGGGATGGCAGAGGATGAGATGGATAGTATCATGGAAATAATTAACATAAAGTGGGACACACTTTAAGAGTTACTGAAGGATAGAAGCGAGTGGTGTGGTATGGTCCACAGAGTCACAAAGAGTGGGACATGACTGAACATCTGAACAGCAAAAATGAATTAGATATTGAAAGATTATAGATATAGAACATGCACAACATCAAAACCTATCCACTTTAACCCTTCTTTTTTAGAGTTGTAAAACTTGAGGCTTAGGGAACTTATGTTACTTATCTAGTTACACAGGTTATAAGTGTCATCAGTGGGATTTGGAACTTGGTTTACTGACTCCTGAGGAAATGTTTTTGTTTTTACTCAGCTGTAAATTGTGAGCTAAGAAGCATCCCACATCTCTAGCCACATGATTCATTACAGCTTTAGAACTTTGTAAAGAAGAATTCTCTTTCCATTTTACCATGATATTTTATTGTAGAAAAGGAATTAATTTGACCAGTCAAAAAACGAAAAAAAATTACTAAACAAATCCTTCATTATCATCATCACCATCATCATCAAAAGAATTGCAAAAAAAATTGTTAAATATACTTAGAGAACAAAATTTTTTCAAAGTATGTTTTGCTATTAGTTTATATCATAATAATGCCTTAAATGTGGTCAACTTGTGGTTAACTCTTGTTGCTTTCTATATGAAAACTCAGTTGAGCTTCACAATAACCTTGTACGGCAGTCAGTGAAAACATTACTATATTTCTTTCATAATCATAGAAACATGGTGTCCAGAGAAAGTAAATGACTAACCCAAGGTCACATAGCCAATAAGTGAATGGCCAAGACTAGAATCCTGATTTGGTGCTATTTTGACTGTAACAGCAGCTGCTGCTATTTCCAGTATATAGTAACATAAATGGGCTTTACTTATAGAGTTTGTACATGTTGTGTATATGTTTGTGTGTGTGTGAATGATGCCCATGTAAGCTATGTGTGTCCTCAAGTGTCTGCACAGATTCGACTTACAGGGAGATGTGGATAGGTATTTCTAAAGTTTACTCTACCTACCCTTCTCCAAGGGTGAATTTGATTCCTTCCAGGCAGGGAACAAAAGATTGATGCTGTGATGCTGGTCACTCTGTTGTCCTTATAGAGGAGGGGCTGGAATTATATCTCTCTGCCCCTTATGTACTGTTGGTTCAGAGGAAATAATTTTAGGTTCAAGCTGTGTTTTTGATTGCTATCCCTTAACAGGGAAGAAGGCATCCAAACAATATATCCAAAGACTTGACTTACTTCCCACCAAATGCCAGTTATACCAGACTGTCACAGTTAATGAATAGCAGATCAATCCATTAATCCAAGCCAATAGCAAACAGGAATAAGAACAGTTACACAGATTAGCATATACTGTCAAAGTACAAAATGAATAAGTTCTCCTAAGAGGAGTGAAAGATCTCAGCTGAACCATGAGAGAGAGAGAGTCCGTGATCTCACAAAAAGGGAAATCACCTTAAATTCTAACATGGTAAATTGTGAAAAGGGGCATGATCAAGGTTGCAGGTCCTCTATATATCAGCTTCTCTCTGGAGTTTTTAACTCCTTTCAGTAATATCCCCCATGAAGACAATCTAGAACTATTTATCTCCTCTTTGGAAGCTGGAAGCCAGAAGAACTAAGATCTCTACTCCATTTCAAGTACCCACCAACTCTTCTCATGTAGGCACTGAGCACTGAGTAAACATTCCCCAGTAATGAGGAGAATCTTCTACAAATGAGCTTGAATACTGGGTTACACTTACAGTTGAGCATTAGTTGGTCAGGCAAGACTTCTACTTCCAAATTTTAGCAATTATTCCATGACTCTATTTAATTGAAGGCAATAAAACTAGATTTCTAAAGAGAAGTTAGTACTCCAGGTTTTTCTTTAGTTAACTAGCTTCATCTATATCCAGAGACAATAAGAGGCATTTCCTACTTCTATATGAACAGAAGGGTTATTGATTATTGCCTGAGAGCTTATAAAGAGGAATTTGATGAAGCTAAAATACATGATGATTCCAGTTTTTTGTGATGTAAACCATCATCATAGAAATATCAGGCTTGTTGCTCATATGGATGCCTTGTCAAGCTATAGTAAAATTAGACTAACAAAAACAATTTAGAAGGTGGTTATTTTGTTAGAGGTATTTAGAACACAAGGGAAATTCAACTACCAATTTATTATTTTATTTAATTGACACATGTATGACAATCACTTTTTTAAGGCACAGGAAGAATAAAAAGGAAAAAAAATGGATTTTCTTTTTTTCCTCTGCTTTTCATGAGAAATAGATTTGAATCCCAAATCTTTCATTAATTAACTCTGAGATTTTGGTAAATTACTTCATTTCTCTGGCCCTCAGTCTCCTCTTCTGCAAAATGTGAGGTTTGGACTTGGTAGTCTCTAGGGCCCCTTCCAAATCTTAACTTCAATCATTTTATAATATATAGCTCAGAGCCCTGCATTATGAAAATCATTTGAACACCTTTTCAACTTTAAAACCACTTTATTCAAATGAGAAAAGGAAGGGGAAATTAATATTACTCAATATCTAAAGTCACAATGTCAAAGCAGAACTCATTTAATTTGCAGGTACATATCAGTTCAGTTCTCCTGAGTCTGTGCCCCTTGATACTCCACTGGGAAGAATAAAGGCTAATGATCCTGATGTGGGGGAGAATGCAGAGATGGAATATAGCCTTGTGGAAGGAGATGGTTCAGACATGTTTGACATCATCACAGACAAGGATACACAAGAAGGGATCATAACTGTCAAAAAGGTTTCTTTTCTCCATTGTGATTTTTTTCTAAATTAATATAGAAGAAATTATCTATTTGAAGTTTTTTTTTGCTTCAATGAAGCTGTTTGGACTTATTTTCTACCTTCTTTAGGGGAAAGTCATCCTTTATGAACTTATATAGATGAAAATTGTTTTGTTATTTCACTTCTCATAAGACCTCTTGATTGCCATATGTCAAATTTTAGAACACTCCAAATAAAAATGCATATAGTACTAACAGATGTGCAATAAAAAATAACATCAGAAAATATATGTGATCTTGTTTTTGAAGTTTATTTTATTTGACTTCATTAAAGGTGTCTTGGAGTGAGAGTAGCATACTAGGGAGCCTGGAAAGTACAAAGAGCTACTTTTGAAGATTATTTTCTACCTTATACATCAATAGTGTTATGATAATAATCACACATTTTTGTTCAAGTATGATAATTATTATGATGATTTTTAAGACTGGATATAAAATGTTTTCCCTTAAATATACTGAAATTGGCAAACATCAAACTAAACTTTAAATATTTGATTACAATACCTTATGTTTTAACAGGTAATATCAATTCAACATTTCCTCCCAAGGACTAACAAAAATGTGTTATTTTGTGTTCTTAAGATTCAGATAAAGAGTATTTTAAGTTTTCACCATAGTTAAAAAGGGACTTGGACAAATAACTCAGATAAGACACACTTCATTTTATTTTAATTCACATTTTATCTTCCCTCTGAATCTATGTCAGTGCAAAACTGAATACTTTAATATCATATTCCTCAGAAGACAATGTTGAAGATAGTATTGACTACTCAATGAAAGAAAATTTCATTTGCAACTAAAAACTAACACTTGCCTCAAACAATGTTTATTGGGCACTTATATGTTAGGACTTGGAGATCAAAAGAAATACCAAATAGTATTTACTCACAGTAGCTCACATTCTACTGGGGAAGCATGAAAGAGAGAGACAGAGACAGAGACAAAGAGAGAGACACACAGACAGACAGACAGAGAAATAGAGACTGAGACAGAGATACAGACAGAGACACACAGACACAATGAAAGTTAGAAAGAGGTAGAGAGATGGAGACAGAGATAGAGAATAACAAAACAAAGAACAAATGGGGGATTAAGAAAGGACTCACATAGCAGGTGCTGCCTGAGTTGAATGTTGGAGAAGGCAAGAGATTATAAGAAGCAACTATATAAGAGTTCATTCTTAACTAATGCGAAAATTTAGAGGCAGGATATGGAATGTAATTTACACAAAACAGCTAGCAGACTAGTTTGGCCAGAAAGAAGAGTGAATGGAAAAGAAGCAACATGGAATATAATTGGAAAGAAAGGTGGGAACCAGATTACCGTGATCCTTAAATGTCAGATTGAAGATTCTATGTTTTTATCATAGAGGCAATAGTGATCCATTTTAGATTCTTGAATTTCCAACAGTATTTAATATGATCAAGTATGTATTTTATGATATCAGTTTGGCAGATAAGTGATAGAAATATTGGATAGGGAAAAGATTCAAATCAGGAAGAGCAATGAGGCAATTGGAATAGACCTTACAAGAGATGATAAATGTCTAAAGTAAAATAGAGGATGACTTTTCCAATCAGTGCCTTATTCAATCCAATTTGACATTTAGGGAACATTTGTTTTATAGTGAGCTTACTTTTTTAAGTGTAAGTGAGCATTACCTTTGTCTTTATGTGATGATCACTGCTTTGGTAAGCTATTTATCTGTAGTTCATGCTATCAAGACATGACTGCTATTTTTTTAACTTGTCATGGATTCAAGGGAATGTGCTATTGTTAAATGTGAAAACTCTTGTCAATTTTATCTCTAGCAATTAGATTTTGAAAAGAAAGTGCTATATACTCTAAGAGTGGAAGTGAGTAATACCCATCCTGATCCACGTTTCCGACATCTGGGGCCATTCGAGGATACAGCAGTGGTCAAAATCTCTGTGGATGATGTCGATGAGCCCCCTGTCTTCAGGAAACCCTTTTATTTGATTGAAGTAGATGAAGATGTCAAAGAGGGTAGCATTATTGGACAAGTTATGGCTTATGACCCAGATGCCATCAAGAATTTGATAAAGTAAGTACATTAGAAATGTTCACATTGTTACACACAAAAATCAAAACTTAATTCTATTACTGAAACTATATTTGTAAAAATAAATACTATAATGTGATGTTTTTCTTAAGTTCATCAGTCATGATCAATTATATTCTTCTTCCACCATATTCCATAAGGAAAAAAATTAACAAGCAAAATTATAGGTAAACTCTATAATTCTAAATTATGAGAATGAATAGGATGATGAGTCTATTGTTATTATTATAAATATCTCTAAGTAATACTGAAAAATTAGAAGAAACAGTTGTTCCTGAAATAACATACATATCACAAAATTCAAAATGTAAAGGAAAACATATTGGAATTATGCTGCTAGAACTCCCCAAAGCCAAGATTAGACATTAATAGCTATCATTTTTTACTTGATAGGTATACCAGATGTATTTTCTGTGGTTAAAAATAATTTATAAAACCTGAGAACTTTGTTTTATCCTATCAGTTTTCTCCCTATTTGTCATTTAAGGATTTTCAAAACTTGAGTATTGACTGCACAAAATAATTTTTTTCATGGTTGTTAAGGGACATGTGCTTATATGCGTTAATATTTTAAATGATCTTTCTTCTCATCCATGTTTATTTTCTACCCATTAAAACAGGTCTACCTCTCTGCCTACTCAATCTGTATAACACTTGTTCATATCTTTGCATAAATCCTACTTATTTTCTATCCAATGTGCTTGTGTGTTTATTGATGGGAAATGTCATCATTCTGAGAAAAAAAAATGAAGCATAGTTTTAAATTTTCCTACTTTAATAGGAAGAACTGCCATATTTAAATTAAAAGAATATTTAACAATATCATCATTTTCTCATTTAAAAAGAAATATTATAACAATTTTTTTTCAAAACAAACTTCTACATATATAACCAATCTTAGATTTGTTATTACATTGAATTTACCTTCCTAGTGTAACGGTCATCTTTGCAAATAGAGGAGTTAACAAAAGAATAGTTAAGATAACTTATTTTTTTTAATCTATTTGTAAATGTATATGTATAATATGCAGGTAGGTATTTTTGGTATAATTTGCTTGACATATGTGGGAAATTTGATACCTACATATATAAAATATCTTTATAGGTCACTTTTTGTCAAATGAATTTGTTCAAATATATGCAACCATATCTGCATAATTATATATATAATATAAATATATGTATGTATATACGTATGTATGTATTTGTGCTATGTACAATGCTAAGAACCAAATACACAAAGTAAGGGCGGAGGGACAACATAATTCCTGCCCTTAAGCACTTTACATTTTAATGGGATAGACATCAGACAAAAACATACAAGTCATAGAGTGAAATTGGAAGGAGGGAAAGCACACTGTATTTTGGGGAAGGGAAAGAAAGGAAGGAAGGGAAAGACATCAAGACTATAAGATATAAGCTGAGCCTTAAAAGTTGCCAGAGAAGCCAGGAGTGGGAGATAAAGAGAAAAAGCATTTTAGTTTTATGGGACAGCCAATGAAATAGCAGGAAACTGGCAGGTGTAACGTTGTGTTATACAGGAAAAGTGCTATATATATATGTATGCATGTATGTATGTATGTGCATGTATATGTATATAGAGAGACAGAGACAGACAGACACACACACAGAGAGAGAGAGAGAGAGAGAGAGAGAGAGATGTAAAATTATTCTATGTATACCTCTATCAGTTTTTTTACTCTGGATTCAGATGGTGTCTTTCTTCAAATGTCCTTTAAAGTTAATTTGGGTATTTATAATAGTCAAAATGACTTATTTGATCAAAGCTGTTTTTAAAACAATATTGTTGTTACTGTATACAATGTTCTCCTGGTTCTGCTCATTTCACTCTTCATGATTTTATGTAAGTCTTTCTGTGTTTTTTCTAAGATCATTGAGCTCATCATTTCTTATAGCACAGTAGTATCCCAGCACAATCATATACTACAACTTGTTCAGCCGTTTCCCAATTGGTAGGCATCCCTGAAATCTCCAGTTCTTTGCAACTACAAAGAGAACTGCTATAAACATTTTAGAACATGTAGTTTCTTTTCCTTTTTTGTCCATAATCATCTTTGTAAATAGACTTACTAGAGTTTGATAACTCTTTGGGCATGATACCAGATTGTTCTCCAAAGCGGTCGGATTAGTTCACAATTCCACCAACAATTAATTAATTTTCTGATTTTTTCACATTCTCTCCAATATTTGTTTCTTTCCCCTTCAATCATGTTAGCCAACCTGGTAGATGTAAAATAATATCTCAAAGTTGTGAAATAATCTGGTACTGGCTAAGAAATAGAAAAGTACATCAATAGAACAGAGCAGAAATACAATTTACAGTAGCAAATAAAAATAATAATCTTGTATTTGACAAGTGTAAAGACTTTATTTGATGATAAGAATTCATTATTTGGTAAAAAAAAAATTATTGGGAAAACTGGAAAGCAGTACTGTAGAAAATTTGCATAGACCAATATCTTACGCCATTTACCAAGAAAAGTTAATTGATAGCAATTGTAGGATGAATTGAAATAATGAGAGATGAGTATGGGGCGGGAGGGAGTTTATGAAAGTTATTGCTATAGTCTAGGATAAGGTTATGAGGGCCTTCTCCAGTATGAGAAGAGAAAAGGGGTATGAGAGATGTTTTGAAATTAGAAATGACAAGATAGCAACAAATGGATATATAATGAGAGAATATAAGCCAGGAGTTGGGTATGAAACTGAGATTGTAAGCCTGGGTGAATGGGAATAGACTGGGAAAATGATGGTGTTCTTGACAGTAATAGGAAAGTTTAGAAGAGAGTACTGTTTTGCAGAGAAGTATAAACAGTTATCTTTTGAACATATTGAGTTTTTGAGGCCTGAAGAACATTAATTTCAAGATGATGAAAAGGCATTTAGTGATGTGAAATTGGAGATCATGAGAGAGACAACTTTTTGATTCAATCTTTGTTATATAGCTCAGAAACATTGAACATAAGAATATCCTAAGAATTGACAATAAGTGTATATCACACAGAATTTTGTGGAAATATGTTGGTTAATTTTGATGGGTTCTTCTTTTTTTTAGTTAAATAAAAGTGTTAGTGATACAACATTATAACTCTAATGCATAGATGACCTTATCTCATAGCACCTTTCATTCAACATTCTCAAGCTGTACTGAAACAGAACAGTAGATAGATATACACACATATATATATACATACATGTATATACACATATATATATATTTATTATATTATTTATGAGATTAACACATATATACATATGCTATGTGGTAATCTCATAAATAGTTCCATCCAGCACAATTCAATTCACTTCAATCTGATTCAAGATATTGATACTTTCACATCACATAGAATGCCTTTTAATGAATCTCAAGTCTTTTTTTCAATGAAAGAAAATCAGTGCCTAAAATATTAACATTCCTTATGCCAATGGGGTGAAACTCAACCCTCAAAATTAAGAGGAGCACAAGCTGAGTTGAAAACAGAAAAGTTTTATTAGGAGAAAAATCAGACACTAGTGCCAAGGCCCCCAGAGTACAAAAAGGAGCCCAAAGCCCAAGAGGAGGAGGTGAGATTTATGCTTGAAAATCACAAGTGGAAGATGTTTGGGGGAAAAAAAAAAGGAACAGATAGTATACAAAAGCAGGATATTTTGCAGGACCAGATGACCACATGGCTAGTTTTGGCCAGCTTGAGGGTGCATAGCTCAGCAAGGTCAGCCAGCAAACACCAGCAATGGTATCTCTGAGTGAGCAAGACTTTGGCATGCTGTTGGCTCTTGATTTGCTCCTTTAGCAAAATGGCTTATTCTGTATATAGTGCACTTGTGTGGTAAGATAACACATAGAAAATAGACATATTAATCTCAGGGCTATTCTCACACTAAACACTACCCTAAACCAACTCCCCAAACAATTCCCTTCCAGATTGTTCCTAGTACAGAAAATGTCAATTTTGAAAAAGCTGTCTTTCTTTTCTTATCATTGATGTTGAAGTCATTCACAAAATTTTTGGCCCTAGATATCTATACAAAAATAGAAACAATATAAAAAAGATACGAGGTCAACATGACATAAGAAAATTGAAACAATTAGTACATGATAGAACCAGTTTAATCTGGATTGAAAGAGATTGAACTGGATTGAACATATGCATTAAAGTATATAGAGAATTTTTTTTTTAGTTAATTAGGTCCATTGGTAATTAGGTACGAAGATATTTAAGCATTTAGCTAATTAGGTATTTAGGTATTTGTATGCTAAGGAAATTACATACTTAGATACTTGAAGAAACTAAGTACTTTAGCTACTTAGGAACTCATTAGGAGAGGTATTTAGGTACTCTAATTATTAGATACTTAAGTACTTAGGTACATAGGTATTTGGGTAAATAGTAACTCAGGTAATAAGATGCTTATGTATTTGGGTAGTCAGGTAAGTGAGAACTTAAATAAATAGCTAAGTGGTAAGTGGGCAGATAGGTGGCCCAGTGGATGGAGTGCTGGGCCTGGAGTCAGGAAGACTCACTTTCCTGAGTTTAAATCTGGCCTCAGACACTTACTAGCTGTGTGACCCTTGGCAAGTCACTTAACCCTGTTTGCCTCAGTTTCCTAATATGGAAAATAATGGGGAGAAGAAAATGGCAAGCTACTCCAATATCTTTGCCAAGAAAACTCCAGATGTGGTCAGGAAGAGTCAGACACAACTGAAAAGATTGAGCAACACAACAACAAAAGTAGATACTTAGACATTCAAGTAAATAAGCACATAGGTGATTAGGCAATTAGGTAATTAGCTATATAGGCACTTAGGTATTTAGGTACTTAGGTAATTTGGTATTTAGGTGATTATTTAATTAGGTACTTAGAAACATAGACACTTGGTTGCTTAGGTAATTAGATACTTTGACACTTAGGTACTTCTTAGGTACTTATGCACTTAAGCAATTAAATGAGTACTTAGGTAT